CATTTCCATTTCTGGTATACTAAAGGATATACAAGACCAATAAAAAGTTGTGGGACTAGGTGTCCTGCACTATATAATAGAAAAAATGCATAAATAATTTTATAAAAAATATAAATCAAAGAGTTGTCAGAGCACTTGTACGTGAGAAAAATATTCGGACCCAAGCCATTTATAAATATTGCCTATGTTCTGACAAAACTTCAACTTCACTATTACTATTGCTATTATTATCAATAATCCTCGTTGTTTTCATTATCTTTTTAATTTTCATTTCTTCTCCTTTTCAATCCGACTTCTGAATTGCTTCTAACGTTTTTCTTCTAGGGTTGGTTTTTCGTTGGTAGAAAGTTTTTATTGTGAAAGCAGCAATTCCCTTTCCCTCTTCAAGCAATTGGCTAATCTCAATGGCCATTCATTAAAGGAAAAATCGGAATCCAATTCAATTCTTTTATCAAATAATGGTTTGAAATCCTTCCATAGATTTCCTATTTTGTGTGAATATTTTTTATCTCCAGTAAATTTGTTTATTTTATTTTTAAATTGGTTTTTTCTTGGTCCTACTTCTATTGATTTACAATATAGAGTTGATTTTTGTAAATTTTATAATGAAGCAATAAACCAAGAAAGAGTTCGTCAACAACAAAAAAATTCACTATTAAATGGTGCAAATTATTTCAAAATTTTCTTTATTATTAATTCGTGATCCACCAGTTAAGGAAAGGATTTAATTAATGCCGATCTGGGCAAATTTTTTAAATTTCATAGTAATAATAATAGTAATCGATTTTTCGCCCACATAGAAAGTCATGCATTTATTATGTTACATAAAAAAAATTTTATATCAACCTGTGTAAATCAAAAGTAAAAAACTATATTTACTTAAAATATATGGGCTATTAAATTTGTCAGTTTTCTGTTATTTAAGGAGCAGTCCTGGATTGTGGGTATAAAATACATATATTTAAATATATAAAATAATTAGAATGTGTTCTAGAATAATAATATTATTAAATATATTTAATAACCACAATGGTAGCTATTGACTTTATTTATTTTTACTGTTATTTATATCTAGAAAAAACTAATAGTAATTGTTACATATAATAATAATAGAGGAAAATTTATGATATTAATTTTAATAGGT